ATACACTGTCATGACAGTTAAATAATTTCTGTAAGAGTTTACGAACCAGTTATTTTGAATGGTTTGCTACCAAAGCTACCAATTAGAACTACTTCCAGTGTTAAAGCAGCAACGGGTTTCTCTGTTTCTTATCCCGTGGAGTTATTCAGAATCACTTTTCTGATAGGCTCGAATGCCATCGGTACTGTATGTATGATTTGTATTTCTTTAAAACAATTGCAAAAGAAATAGTAAAAAATATTTTATTTTAACTTAATTAATGTTTATTAAGTTCTCTTATGTCTCCGCTCTAAACACCCACAAAGCTCATTTTGATCAGTTCATTAGTTCAACAGTTATAATGAATTGAAAAAGGGTTTAAACTATATTTCAAACAACTGTAAAATGAACAATTTAAAAAATTTTCAAAAATCCTTCGAGACACGTTTATACATATATCACTAAAGACTATAACATATTCAAGTTTCAATAAGATTCGAAATGTTACACCAAAAAGTGTCCGACTTCGCGTGGAATGACCCACAATGAGAGTATACGAAAGATAACGAAAAAAATTTTGAAAACAGTCTGTTTAACTCAACAGTTTACACACAGTTTCAAGAAGGCAGACAAAAATTTTCAAGAATTTCAAACAATTATGCTCATTGCAGAAATCAAGAATTTCAAAAAATTATGCTTGTTACAGATATCATGAATTTCAAAAAACTTTGCTCGTTGCGAGAGATGAAGAATTTCCAAAAATTATACTGGTTGTAGAAATCAAAAATTTCAAAAAATCATGCTCGTTACAGATATTAAGAATTTCAAAATACTTTGCTCGTTGCAGAAATCAAGAATTTGGAAAAATTATGCTCATCGCTAGTAGGGCATCGCTGGGATCGGTTTCAGGCGCGTGTGCGCGCGCAGGTTCGGAAGACGCGAAGAAACGGTCCATGGGACGGAGGGAGGAGGCCTCGGGAGGAGAAATGAGATGCGCATAGAAAGGTGCAGGCGAAGAAAACCGTGGTACCGGCAAACGTATCGTTTCAATGCACGTTGAGCGCTCGACCGGAGCGCAGGCGATCGAAACACCGACTGTTACTAATTTACATTTTGCGATCGACAAGTTATAGTTCGAAAAGGGAAACGGAAACGAGCTACCTCGGGCTACCACCGGGGAACGAGTGCGACGATTCGCGACGAAAATACAATCGCTTTTGAATTTCTGATTCGAAGAAACAAGATGACCCGACACGCTGGACCATTCTTCCTGCTCCTTTTGGCCATCCAATTGGAGCAATTCCTGCCTTGGATGCGAGGTACTGTGTTTGGATAGGCTTTTGATTTTATTTTCTTTAAGACTGTCACAGAGATTGGATGAATTGGACTCATTAGTACAACACTCATTTTAAAAGTGTAAAATTCTGTCGTCGGTTAATATCTAACTTTTCTCAGCAAAGATCCGTAGTTACACTGTTGTGTAGACTACTGATTTTATGCATTTATAGCTCATAGGGCTCTGTGAAATACAATAAAAGATGAAACTTTCATTGGATCCAATGATTTTTCTATTTTAGTCTGAACCCAGTAAGATATTTGAGAGGAAAAATAAATTTCTTTAGAAATTATTAGTCTTTATAAATTACTTTAGAAAATGTTATTTTGCATAAAAGTTTGCTGTCTACTGGTGTGAAGTAGATCTTCACGGTTTCGTTTCAGAAATTTGAGTATTTCCTTCAAGAATAAAGAACAAAAGAAAAAAAATGAAAAAAAAAATCGGTCTGTTTAATATCAATATTTTCAAATTCAAAATAACGAGATATAACATATACATATATATCGGTCTCTTAATTTTGAATTAACGATTTAAGGATATGGGCGGTAAAGGGTTAAGCACAAGGAATGATAAGAAATTGAACGCGCTGTTAGAAGAGCCGCTTGTTTTCTCGGAATCGACGATTGATGATGGCGCGCACTTATTAGGTGTAGTATGGAGCTGAGCTCTTGGGATTAATAGTTTTGCTATTAATCGTTCTCGTTGCTCGAGACGACGGTTAATGTTCGAGAAATTATTGAAAGTTTTTCTGCGATTTATTTTTGGTTCTGGTGGAAAGTATGTAAATTCGAATTACACTCCTGTCCTATAAGTCAAACGGGACACTTGATTGTTTTAAGAAAAATGGAAATCGAAACGGAAATGTAATTCCTTGAAATAATTTCATTAATTTATTATATTTTTCGGTAAGATAGTGATCTTGAACGTACTTGAAACATCTGTGACAGCGTTAATTAATAAAAATTACAAAATAATAATCAGTTGTAAGTTTTTTATTAGTACCCACAGTAGAACCAATTTAATGCAATTGAATAATTAAGGTAGTGATGTCTACAAAGACTAAGAACATGTATAAAAAATTACTGAAGAACTAGTGAAAGCAATTACCGACTGCTTTGAGTGGAATCACGGGAGAATTACTTTAAAAAATTCATAGTTGAAGTGCCACAATTCATTTGAATGAATGGTCCTGAATGAAATAAAACACTTTAGTTGAATATAATTTACATTTTTTCTAGTATGTGGAAAATTAATAAGAATTCGTTTGATTCATCATTTAAGTAAGTTTTTAACTTTTTTTTATTCTATGTTTAGTAGCGTAAATGTTCCGTGACTTATGGACAGGGATGTATTTTTGGAAAGTTTTAATCTTACGATTTTTTTGTAACTGAATATTAAGTATTCGTGAACATATTAGTAGATTACAGATATTTAGGCAACTATAGAATGTTGTGTATTTATTTATAGAAAATTGTTCGTTTCAAATTGTTGCATAATTTTCCAATGAAACAACGATGCGTACGTGCACGTGTCATTCTTATCACTGAACAAACCGTAGGTTTCCTTCTAACTACTTGACATGTATACTTTCTACTGATTTATAAAGGTTCCCATTCAATTACTGTTGTAGAATCACCGTTACAAATATAAATTTAATACTGAAAATTCTTTTTGGATCTATGCCTCGAGTAATAGTTTATCAGTAGATTGCGGATTTTATGCAGTTTCATCGTAATCGTTTAAAATCTATTTATTAGTTACTGAAAGCTCAGTAAAGTAATAATGTACACCTGTACAATGTTTTAAAGAACAATGTACAAATAGGATACAATATCATAGAGGAGGAACTCAATGGAAATTCTATTCTTTTGTTCCTCCTGAACGATATACAGAAATATTTAACGGGTACTATTTATGCGATTGAAATCGTTTAAAGTTTAACGATACAATAGGAGTAAATTATCCGAATCGAAGATTCTTTGTATGATGTGGCTCACATTATTTCCTTGTTGTCTTGTGTGATCTTGTTCCAAGAAATTTGTGTTAGGTGTCTACTGAAATATAGCTGAAGTACTTAGAATATTGCATAAATGGATTAGAAATAAATTTTTTATATTAAGTATTAAAACAAAAGAAAGGTAATTTTTTTTCGTGTATTGGAATGTAATGGAGTAATTATTAAAATGTATACATAATGAGGTAATTGATGTATTAGTCGACCAATGAATACTTCTTACTTCTTTTCTGAATTCAATATCAATCTTACACTATATTCTTAAAAATCTATAATCATTTAGCAATATCCATAGTCATTCTTTTTCAATATTCTACGCTGTTCCAACACAGGGGTATTACACATGTTACTGTCTTCGGGTTCTATCATTTCATCATTATAATACACATTTTATGCATTTATCGAATACCTGCAAAAGAGTATGAAATAGTAACAGTAATAAAAATTCATAAAAATCTTATTTTATTTTTGATTGAATAAAATCTTTAATCGAGAAACTCGATTACTGTTTAATTTTTAATCCGTTAAATTAGTCTGTAAAAATATCAATTTACATAAACAAACACAGTCTAATCGTTATGTGGAACAATAGTTGCAGAAAGTATAGCACATACGTTGAAAAATAGAATTTCGCGATCTTGAAGCCTACCTGTGAAATTCATTTTCCTAAACAGTTTCCCCGAACAACTACTCGACTTATCACTGCACTTGCTGCAACGACAGGAAGGGATTTGTCTCTCAACTCTGTCGGGAGTTCGTAAAAATGTCACGCAAATAAGAGATAACTTCGTCATAAGTTTGCCATTGTTCTCGTACGAAGGATTAATTTGTTATGTTCCTGCTCTATTTCCTCTATTACAATAGTAATTTTTATTACCACGTCAGAAATATAATAGAAACAGTTAGACACTAGGTAGTCAAAGCAATTAGAGGATCGTTACTTTATTTGGTTCTGTTCGGCCAATCGAGTGAAAGAAACGAATTAAATGCTATAGGTTTGATTGAAAACAAAATTTCCAAAAATAGTATGCTTTGTTAATGGTCAAAGAGGCTTCGAGCGCCGTGTCTTTCCATGTGTAGATTGAATGTGTTTATTGTTAATGGCTTTTTGTGCTCTATAATACTATGCAATAAAAAAAATTAAATAACTTAACAAATAAAACAAACAAATTTTTAACAATTTCATTACACGCTTTTATAGAGTATAAGAAACCATTAAATTTTTGTTATATTTACCATAGGTTTCAAGATACACAGTAAAATAGGAAAACACACCTTAACCTTTGAGGGGTGGTTTCTCCCCAAAGAACCGATTATCAGTAAAAACGAAAAATTCCCCTTGCTGCTATTGAGGTTTTCTACAAACCTACGAAGTTTTAAAAAAATCTACACCAACAGTACATACATAATGTTTTCAAGGCGCTCACTTCAATGCGATACACCTACATATCTATAAAAAATAAATTATTAAGAGTTTCAAAAAATCCTTTTATACTCTCAATAAGTGTCTTAATAAATAGGCAACACTTCATTTATACGTTGAACAATTCTTTCACTGAAAAAAAAGTTCTCAAAAAATGACAATGTTTCGAGGGCTTCACTGTGGCAAGACCCCACCGAAGTTTACGAAATCATTCATCTTACATAGGGGGTCTGATGATCGAGGCAAGGATGGAGGCGCAGTTCGAGAAATGCTGCGGCCTGGGCACTTCGTGGGCAATGGAAGGGCTCGGGTGTGAAAAGTTCACGGGTCCGGTATCCGGTGTGCCGACAGTGGAGCAAGGTCTCTGCCTGGAGGCTGTGGACATTTGTTGCGTGAGAGCGTACCACGAGCGACACTGCGACAAAGGGAAGTCGGATGCACGTGCTGGGCTGGCATGTGTCACCAGTACCAAAGCGAAACGCACAGGGCCCGGCGATTATCATCGCGACTGCTGCGAAGCCTGCAAATTAGGTAAAACTTTGCTCCGCCACACTTGTGGACATGGGCGTAGCCAGGGGAGGGGGGGCACTATCCCCCCTGGACGGAAAAAAGTAGTTTTTGCCCCATCCTACAAAAAAAAATTGGATTTTCCTCCCCCTCCCTTGCCAGAGTTACAAAATTGTTGCGTAATATTTAATATTGCAGTATAATTTGAAACACGACCAACAGCCTCTATTAACAAAACGCATACATTTTCAACGATTCATGACTTTAAAAACAAAATAAAACGTGTCTGGCTACGTACAGCCTTTTTCACTGTGGCAGTCGATATGGTAATATTTTTGTCCCCCCCTCCCCCCCGAACTGATAACCTGGCTATGTCTATGGTTGTGGATCTGATGCGTTTGCATCAGACGGCAATGTTTCGAGACACAATGGAACACCCCCACGAGAACTAAATTTCCATATTACTTTGAGCATTTGTTAAAATTAATTTTTAGCAAATCAAAAGCAAGTCAGACATTAGGTTGGGCACCTTGTATTTATGTTAACATATATAAGTTAGTAAGAATAATGGAAAATATAAAATCTTGTGGCGAATATCACTACTTCCTTAGGTACAACAATCGTGTACTGAAAAGTACAAGTTTTATTTACTCACTCCTAATTTTTGTTAAGGGAAACTTTGTTTATGTATTTATCGTGGCACGATTCGAGTTTAGGTATTTTGACCGGGTCCATGGGTCAAGGATGCGCATTCAAAAGTTTCGCGTTCGGAAATCCATGGGATGCAGCGTTTTTGGAGTGTTGCTACGAGGCGTCACCTAGCACCACGACAACGTTCATATCGGAATCGACGAATTCAACGTCAACGAGCGAGAATACCGAAAGCTCATCGTCCTCCTCGTCTACCTCACCGGTATCGTCTTCTTTCACGCCCTCTACATCGTCCACGGAGACATCAGAATTTTCTCCCTCGGTTCCGACACCTCGTAAGGAAAACGAATTTTTCACTTAAAACTATCTAAAAGCATTATTAATTATTATGTTGTTGTGTATAAAAACAAGGGAAATATTTGCAATAAGGATGCCATCTCGATCATCTTTCAATATGTTGTCAAGATTATCACCTTGAGTAGTGGTGCGCAGATTTTAGTTGGGAATCGCCATTTATAACAAAGTTATTATAAAAAAAGAACCTTTAGGTACATAATTATTTATATAAAATCATCTGTCTCTAAACAATTCTGAATTACATTTCTTCTTGAACTGTCTCTAACCAACTCCGATCAGTATAATGCTTCAGAGTCGATTAGGTACAGTTCAAGAAAAAAGGTAGTTCAGAGTTGGTTTTATACAGTTAAAAAAAGAAACCATTGAGAGTTGGTTACAGACAGTTCAAGAAAAAGGTACCATTGTTCTCTTAATAACTATTTAATAAACGACATTCGATAGTTGAAACTTTCTGAAGATCACTCAGGAGGGTGACCTTGACAACATTTGCCAAGGTCAAGTTTATCGGTCATATTACTTATCAATACTACCAAAGTACGGTACTAAATTGTTTTTTATAATAACTTTTTTACAAATGGCGACCCCTGACTGAAACCTTCACAATAATTCTCAGGATAATGACCTTGACAACATGTTAAAAAATTATCGAAATCGGAGGTGGCTCCGTTATTCTAAATATCTACCAAAAACAATGATTTATGTTAAATTTAAATGAAAAATCACAGTAGTTTGTAATATTATCGTACACGAGTGAATTCGTACAAGGAGATTAACAATTTTTTACAAATAATTCACAGCCCTAGACGATATCTGTCAAATTATGAAGGGAATGTTGTGTTCCGATATTTGCGTTCCTACGCCGGGATCTTATTACTGCAAATGCCGCGATGGTTTCACTCTATTGGAAGACGGGAAAACTTGCACGCAAGACCTGCCGTCAGACAGGTACAATTGTATTCCTTGTCATCAGATTTAAGTGACATATCAGGAGTATACAAAAGTAATGGTCCCTTTTTCCTATCGAAAATCTGTATTAATATTCACGTTAACCCTGATATTAGAGGTTGATGCGAATATAAAGAGTAAATAAAAAAAAACATTGAACAATAATTGCTGCAGTATCAGATTACTCGAAACAGCGTTCCATTTTTTATAAATTTTTGCTGTTTTTATGACGAAATCTGAGTTCCTCGTTCATAAAACGGAATAAAGCCACAACGTAAACACGATGGCCATTACATTTGCATAGACTTAATATTATATTAGTATTATAATTAGTATTAATTACATTTCTTCTTATAGTAGCATTAGAAATTTTCTTTTAATTTCTTCCCACCGATATATGGACAACTAGAGACGGTACAAAATTTATCAAAATTTGTTTTCGATATCGTTTGTAGTTTACCAGTTACAAGCGAACAAGTAAAATGGCTGCTTCGGATAAAAAGGGATTCTCCCTTCTCCCTTAAAGTCTAAAAGTAGCACCAACCAAGTATGGAAAAATTCTTAGGTTGATCCTATAAAGAATCGAGCAAACCTACAGAACAAATCGGCGTGTAACACTTTATGAACATCGCTTGTTAGATGAATCCAAATACAATTTGTTTTCAATTGCGTTGTCTATGCAAACTGTATTACAAATTGTTGCAGTTTAATGATCATATTTTTAAGATAAATATTTATGTGAAACAGAAGCTTTCTATAGATCGAAGATTATTTATTGTTCAGATGTAAAACCAGTAATCCGTGCGAGCAACGATGCACGGACAATGGGGTCGCGGTAACATGCAGCTGCAACCCTGGTTACGTATTGGCGAACGATAAACATTCTTGCATTCCCAAGTCACCCGACAAGAAGAGCACCGAACCAACCGAAGACGCCGATTTGCCCATTTGTCCAGCTGGTTACCGTTACAACGCTACCAATCAGGTCTGCGACGGTAAGCATTGAACAACAATCAGATTTATCACATAATAATTCGAAATTTTTCGAAGTTCTTGGTTAACTTATCCACTATGTGACGATAAAATGATTCTACTGACTACCTGAAGGTGCACATTCACTGCACATGATGCATGTTAATGATCACACGTAATATGTAAACTGTGCACTTTTTAATTTTTCTAAATATTTCGATACAGCTTCAGTTGTACTTGTTTCCATCATTATTTATAAGTAGACTGCGGATTTTTCGTAAGCATAGCACACTGGATGTGTGAAATATAATATATACAAGTGAAATATAAGTATATGTATACAATTTATATCAGATTCTATGAATTTTCTAGTTTATTCTTGACACTAGAAGAACTGATCCGGTTGTAAGCATATAATCTTTATAAGTATGAATTGATTATTATTTTTCTTTTCGACGTTTCAAAAATTTCGGATGCATATAATGGACAAAAGATACTTTTTGAAGATGATAGGTAATTAAAGAAATATGTGGAAGTCGATATGTCGCAGATGATTCTTTTAAGTAGATTCTAGTGTTCGCCTAATAAAACCCTTAAACGAACAAAGGAATATAATAATTTTTCTCTCGTAGAAAAAATGATATAAAGAAATGAAATTTTGCGTAAAGATCTGCAGTCTACTCATAAGTACCACATTTATTTCTCTAAGTCTTTAGTGAAGATTCGAATATACGTCGCCACGTTTCAATGTTAATGATAAATTTGGCCTCCGTATACAGTCCATTTCAGTATCGTAGACCTCAAATCACAAAATTGAAACGTATGGCCCGAATAAAAAATGGTTGGCCATCATCGAACATCTCATGTTTTATAATTCTTTAAGATCACCTGTGAGCGTACTTTACAGTTGCTTCGTGAAACAAGCGTTCTTCTTAAGTGATATCTCGTCTTGCATTGCAATTCTGTGATATGTCCGTGTTGCTTCTTGTTGGCATTGTGTGTCCTATTGCTTAGACGTGAACGAGTGTATAGAAAAAGGACTGTGTCCTGGTCGGTGTGAAAATACTATAGGATCTTATGTATGCGCGTCGAAAGACGCGTCGAACAATGTGCCTTACGAGAACTGTCCACCTGGATACCAATGGGAACCAGCTACAGGTCTTTGCGCAGGTAAAATACCTCATCTTATTAATATTTGACACATTAATAGCAAAGAAAATTTTTATTTCATGTATTTCGTATTATGTCGTTTAGGTGTAATATTATTAGGTGTACCTACCAATAAGTAATTCATTATATTTTGTCAAATTAAATACTTACTTTAAAGGAAATCAGAAGCCCAAAACAAATCGCCATTTTGAAAGACGAAGGCGGTAGAAAGATGTTTTAAATTTAAATTGTTCACAGTTTATTAGAAAAAAATAGTGGAGTACTTATCGATACACCTAATAGTACGGAAAATTAAAGCTAAAGATTAAAAAGTTATTTGTGCATAGTTAAACTGAAATTTTACAAGTTAAGGAAGGTTTGACGCAGGTAAAAATGGCGGACTTTATTATGTACGTTAAAAAAGAAGTAGATTTACCTCTAAAGTTTTTCCGTTTTATATGTAACTATATAAATATGAAAATTGATATTACGAAATACTTATTTGTTAAAAATCAATTTTAGGAAGGCTAATACAGTTACGTTGTATAAGTATTACAGAGATTTTTAGTTGTTTACAGATATTTTTCCGCAAATCCATCAGTTCTAAAGATTATAATATTTCTAGAAACTTGACGAGTCCTTTGCTCTAATTGATTTTAATTTCTAATACACTATAAAACAGTAAAACCAACACAGGTACATTCATTTTGTAAATAAATGTGATTAAAATTAAATCAACTCTTTTTTCAGATATTGATGAGTGCATTATATTATCAAACCCATGCCCCGCTGACAAAAACTTCTGTGTTAATACACAAGGTAGTTACAGTTGCCTTGAGATGAAGGGAACAAAATCTTGTCCTGCTGGATTTAAATTTGATAAACTATCACAACAGTGCAAAGGTATGATCGTCTAATTAAAAAATACATAATAAATTTATTCTTTTAGGTTCCTGCACAAAAGATATTGTCTAATAATATAAGGCAGAATATTATATTTACCCAAGATACTTCAATGTATTCTTATTTACCAATTTTTTCCTGTACAATTCTTTAAAAATATGAGGTTTAGTTATTCCGAATTATTTTGTTTGATCTATCGAGTATTTTTTAATTTGCCTAATTTGGTTTTTTGATCTGCACATTTGAATAAACTAAGTTAAAGAATTGACAATTTTAATCTTACAATTTTAAAACTAGAGATCTAGTAACATTGTATTCATACTTATAGTTTCTTATTCCAATTAAGATACTAAATGATAGTAAGTATAAGATGAGTTTCTTTCCCTTTCATAACTAGATGTAGACGAATGTGCAGAAGGTATTCATAGTTGTCTCGAGAACAGTGAGGAATGCAGAAACATTGAAGGTGCTTATGAATGCGACATAAAATGCAGGAAAGGTTTTACCTATAACATCAATTTGGGTACCTGCATTGGTAAATATTCCACATTTTTAAATATTTTCTTAACATTAATCATTATTTAACTGAGCCTGGTTTACAAATTTTGTTCTTTGAATTACAACATTCGTGCATTGCATCGATAATAAGTTCCTTTGCTCTTCTGATGTATTAACTTTTTCCTGTAGGTATGTGCATGCATGAATAATTTTGATAACTAAATTTTATCTTTTACACCTTAACTACTAAACTGAATAACTAAACATATTGAGTCTAACATGAATGTTCACACAACAATACATTGATCCAGCATGTATCAAATTCTAATCTGCATGTGAAGAAGAACTATTATATTTTTCGTACATCACCATGATCCATGACTAATTTGTTTAGAAAAAAATCACACCTCCCATATGTTTGGACAAAAAATTTCTACACAGCAAATTCAAAAACTTATTCCTCATTTAATAGTAGTATTTAAATTATTTCTTTTTATACATTTACGTTTAAGGAATTCTAAATATCCATTTATGTTATTTACAAATATATAAATATGTATTTTTAAAAGAAATATTTTAATTCGATATCTTTAAGTAAAGTAACAGCATGCGACAGATTCGATTGAAAAATATTCTTGGGAGGTTTTATTAGGTGTACCAGCCTGCTATTGCTTGTGAAATTTTATATTTGTTCCAAAAGTATTTATGATATCTTAACGATATTTAGTATTTGCCTCCATTATCCTCCGACATTTTGACTGATCCAAAAGATATTCCGAGCTTAAACTCTATTGTTATTACATCGAAACCATAGTAAATTATTTATTGGTATAACTAATATAATTGTAAATATAAAAAAAAAGTTTGGAAATATATAAAATAACCAAACTTTTAGATGTAGATGAATGCGTCGAGTCTACTAATCCTTGCCCAGAATCGAATACCATGTGCAGAAACACGATCGGTGGTTACGAGTGTACACCGTCGAATAATTCGACGTTTTCACGGTATTCAATGGATCAGAAAACAGAACCATCGGTTTGCCCCGCGGGATACAAACCGACAGACAATCCAAAAGAAGCCTGCACCGACGTCGATGAATGCAAGGAGCAATTGCACTCCTGCGACGTGAACGAACAGTGTGTCAACGAAATCGGTAGTTACAGGTAAGTTTCTTTCCAACTAGAATATACACCAACACTCATGCACTTATAAGTCGTTGTCAAAAGTGTATCAATTCGGATGGATTCAACTTCGATTAAAAATCTGAATTTTAAAATAAGTTACAATCATTAAAACTGCACAGTCTAAAAAATGAAATACACTTGTGTTCTACAATATTGCACGCCTATTACAAATACGCCTATTAGAAAATTATTCAAATAAATTTCGCGTTTAGTATTACTATATTTAGTATTAATGTTCGATTAGATGTGACTTACTGAACCAAGATGATGCAGTTTCGGAGGAGAAGACCGAAAATAATTTCGCGTATGAAAGAGAATATAAACAACAAACTACTGATCATTTACAAGCGATCTCCCCAACTGATAATCGAACAGTGGATTGCGAATCAGGATTCGTTTTCGATCAAGCAAGTTTGGACTGTATTGGTAAAAATTCAAATACAATATTATATTCCTTACTGTAAATATGTTTCTCTTATGTGTCAATGTTAGTGTTCAGTTGTCTTTTCCTTAAAAGTATTTTCAATTATTTCATACAAAAAAAACGAATTCAGTTATATCGTAATAATGGTTCTTCTAAAAAACATCTGACAAGTCTTATTCCATAGATATCGACGAATGTAAGATTGGCTTGGCGAATTGTGGAATTGGGGAACAATGCGAAAATTTCGAGGGCGGATACAGGTGTTCACCAATGTGTCCTGCTGGGTTCCAACTGCAAAACAACAGTGACTACTTCAGTAGAATGGACGTGTCTTGTCAAGACATAGATGAGTGTGTACTTGGATTACACGTTTGTAACGTGACAACCCAGTACTGCGTTAACACGAATGGTTCTTACTTCTGCGAGACGATGATTACAACAACAGATCAACCTGTACATGACGCAAGAAATAATAAGATACAGGTATACGTGTAAAAAGACGTATTTGTTTTGTGAAATGATCGTTGAAATGAAAATCGTACACGAAATTACTCGAGTGGTAGGAACTTAACTATTGCTACTAGTCTAACAATCAGTATATTCAATATAATCATCATACTCAATTATGATGTCATACACATAATGATCATACTCAATATGTATAATATATGTATTCAGATAGACTCATATGAGTATATAAGTACAGGGGGGTTACAAGATCTCTTCCAAACCTCGATACATATCTCAAAAATATATTTATTAACTTACATCACTAATACTTTCAAGGACTCATATAGTATAACTTTTCATCGTGAATAATAATCAATGTCTCATTTATCATTATTTTCAACATTCAATTCATCGCTCGATCATATACATACACCTGTCGCTACAATATCGAACTAATTGATTTCTAATACATTTCCAATAGTTCTCAAGAATGTAAAGAGATTCAATATAATTTCACTAACAAAAACAGATCGTTTTTTATTGCTGGACAATCAATTAGTCGCCTATCATTATTTTCAACATTCAATCCAACCTACCTATCACTTCTTCATATACATATGTACACTGGCTGCCAAAAGTTTCCGTCCAAACTATAGTGTCAACATATTTTTTTTTAAATCTACAATACGAATAAACTCTTAATATACCCATATAGGATACCTTGCTTCTTCAAATTTGGTGATATTCAAAATTTTCTTGCATAAAAATAATCTGTTCTCCAATTTCTACCAAATACGGGTCCGACAACAACTATGACTAGATTGCGGATTTTCATGCAAAATCAAATTTTAGAAGGTTATTCATAAAGACAAAAACAAAAGTAGAAATTCCTTTCTTCCCTTCAGTATCTTATTGGGTTCAAGGGAAAATAGAAAACTCGTTGCATCTGACGAAAGTTTTGTCCTTCATTGTATTTCACAAAGATCTACAGGTTATAAATGCATAAAATCCGCAGTCTAATTATGACAACGATATGGTGAAATTACTCACCCCTACGATCTAGCTTTCTCTCGTTTGGAGGAGGTACGACGACGAATACCCCCATTTGTACAGGCTCGGCCTGTGGGTGAAGACACGAGTGAGGTGGTACTCACCTTGGGAGACGAAGGATCGGTTGATCCGACGTCCAACACCATAGCTTTAAAATTAGGTAGGAGTAGGACGATCCTAATGACTCTCCGCCCCCCGCACGAGTACTTCCGGACCGCCAAGCGGCCCAGTCCTAATAAAGTTGGAACGGTTGGAAAGTCGAGGGAACCTAGCTCCAATTTCGGGTCTTTGTGAAAGCGAGTTCGTTAATGAGCCATGCCTGTGTCCTTGGAGGGGATATCGAAATCCCCTTTCCCTGAAGATCCGTTACCCTAACTAACTAACTACTCACCCCTGCCACTCACTGTAAATCTGTCGCACCAATATCGATCTAAGTGACATCTATGATCGAACTAATCGATCTCTATTATAATTCCAATAGTTTTCAACGATGTAAGTAGCCTCCAATATAATTTCTCTCACAGACAATGGATCGTTTCTCTTACCTGGAGGCCTGTAAACGTGGCTACACGAGGGACACAAGAACCGGCGACTGTATAGACATCGACGAGTGTCAAACAGGACAAGGTTGCCGGGACCACGAACAGTGTCACAACACACCCGGTGGCCACGAGTGTTCGCCACTCTGCACCGCCGGCTGGTACTTCAGTCCCACTACGAAAGGCTGCCAAGACGTGGACGAGTGTTTGTTGGGTAGACACGATTGCGGCCAAGGCACGCACATCTGCGTGAACACGAACGGTTCGTTCTACTGCGAGCTGATCCAACCCTGCGGGAACGGTTTCAAACGCTCCTTGAACGGCAGTTGCATCGACGTGGACGAGTGCACGGAGGGCCTGCACGCCTGTCGTTTGACGTTGCATCAATACTGCGTGAACAAACACGGTGGCTACGAGTGCCTGACCAGGCTACCCTCGTGTCAAACGGGATTCGAGTACTCTATGGACACCAGACGGTGCGAGGATGTCGACGAGTGCAGCACCGGTCGGTACAAGTGCGACGTCAGATTCTCGGAGAGATGCGTCAATCTACCTGGCACATACAGGTATCTTGTGTGTTATTTGTAGACTGCGGATTTTGATGGAAAATTATATTTTAGAAGGTTGTTTATAAAGAGAAAAACAATAGTAGGACTTTCTTCCTTCTTTTAAGTATCTTATTGAGCTCAAAAGAAAACAGAAATCTCGTTGCATTTAACGAAAACTTTGTCCTTCGTTGTATTTCACAGAGACCTATAGGCTATAAATGCATAAAATCCGCAGTTTAGTTATTTGGTTTTAATAACTGGGCCGGACTGCAGGTCCTTGTGTATTTGGGGTATCGATGAATAATCCAGTGATGTTTGTAAGATTCTGTTTTTTTTATTTGGTAAGAACTGGAACACTTTGAGCTTAAGCTAATAACGGTAATAGCATAAATCTTAGGTCTTCAATCCTCTAAACTCCGTTCCACGAGAGAAGGGACCTTGTCCGCGAAGTCTGGTGAATAGGCCATGTGCCAAACAAAGATCCATCTTGTTCCTAGAGCAGAGTTGGGCAAAATGTAATCTAATTACAAAATCGAAATTGCAATGTAGTTGCAGGACAATCACAATTACATTGAAATTTTACAATCACATTGTCGTTTTTATTGTAAATTTAGTATAGTTAATTGCAATTTAATTGTAATTGTAATTGTCTTGCAATTACATTGCGATTACCTTCATTGTAATTGTGATTTGGATTTTGTAATCAGATTACATTTTGCCCAACTCTGTACTAAGGGAACCTATTGGTAATAAAGGGACCTTCAAGAATCTTGCAAGAGGTACGTGGATAGGGATGCGTGCAGGGAAGACAGACTCAATGACTAATGAAAGTAGGAGTCAACTACGCAGAACCTACGAAATCTGGTCCACTCGCGAGTCCTTTCTCTCGTGGAATGAAGTTTAGTACCGAGGAACTGTACAGTAAATCATCGATGAATGATCGAAGGTTTTTCGGAACTGTGTGTCCTGGCGTCATCCCCACCATTGGGCCCTTGACTGGTTTCACGTGGGACCCCCCCCCTGCGTGGTGGGGATGACGTCTGAACATTCAATGCTGAGGAACCTTAGAATACTTATCGATGATTTACTTTACTAGGGATGTAAAATCCGAGGTGAGTCTACAGAGACTTTGAACGTTTAGGTTTATTTGTACATAAATTAGAAGAATCTTGACAATTCTTTTCACAGATTTATTTTAGTTACGCATTTTCTTTATAAGTATCATAGAGAGGCGTTGTACTAATTTCTTCTGTTTAACTTAAATTGATAGATCTACAAAAAAATGGAGAATGGGAAAAATAGAATCAGTAGAGTCTCTGAGACTCCACCGTGGTACTAGAGGGTTAACAATATTTGTTATTGCCTTCGAAAGTTCCACGACACTTTAACTGAATAGAAGATCGGGAAGGCGTTCTGAATTTGAATTGTATCACAACCTTGTTGCTACAATAATGGGTTACTTTTTGGTTGAATTAATACTAATTATTGGGATCGAATACAAGATAGTACTAAATTTTTTTCGTCTATTCAAAGAAGTATTTAAAGACAGTTTAAAATTTCTATTGATATTGATGGAAAATACTTTCTTCAATTTCAATTTATTTAGATGCGAAAGGCCTACGTCACCAGTCCAGCGTCCACGTCAGAAGCCAGCTTGTCCTTCGGGGTATAGATATCATCCTCGATTACGCAAATGCGCAGGTATTTTTGCCAGCTTGAGATTTGTAATCATTTTTCTACTACATCTTGACATTTTAATAATATTATTTACACAATTTTAATGCAACACTATTTTCTCTATACTTTCGATTTAATTGGGTACGAAGGGAATAATGAAGCAACTGTTTAAGTTATAGTTTTTATAAACTAATAGTATGTATAACATAATAATTCATAACATTTTTTCAGGATAAGAACATTATAACTTGGAACTTCTGAATCTATAAGTGTAACATTTTGCATGTTTTATGTCTGTTTGACCGCTTTAATGTTTTAAGTTGAGGTGCTTGCAGGTTTGTTTTTGCTAATGTGTATGCGCTACGTTGCTTCACTTTGTATTGTTTTTCTATGCATTCTTAGTATGTGTTTTTGCATTCTGTTGCATTTTAGAATTACAGTATTGTCTTTTAATAGGTACCCTTAAATACGATTTTGCATGTTCTACGTGTGAATTGAAATTGCAGTAATAAAAATTCCAATACTGATATGAAACGGCTAAAGTATAAACCGAGCTTGAAATGAAACAAGAATCATCTAATATGAAAAGAAAAATATCTAATACGAAATTATTAGTCTCAGCAGCATCACATAATAATTCATAACTTGCATGTTTCTTTTTACAGATTAGAACTAGTAAGAAGAAACACGTATAGATTTCGGTATTTGGCAAAATTATTTTTCAAACAAAATTTTTAAATTGAATTGCAAAAAAGAAAATAAAAAAGAAAAAATACATATATTACATTAAATTGTTAAATTTATCCCAGTTTATTCGGGCACCTTTTCGCCCCCTGGAGATGGAAATTCAAAAATTCTAAAATTACATTTCAAGCATTTGTATAAGTATCATTTTGAAGCAAAAAGCAATGGAACATCACATCTGGATTAAGAGATATTATGAAATCCCTATGAAAACACATTTTACACCGTTTCACCCTCCCCCCCGCGTAGGTGAAATTTCAAATATTTCCGATATTACTTTCCAGACATTTCAATAAGCTTTATTCTTATACCTCGTATTATATTCTTATACCTCATCCCTTCTTATGCCTCAAACTCTGTTTCTACTAGTGGAAAAAGTGACGTAGAAGAAGGGCCTCCTACCACTTGGTAAATCAATTTCAAGTACTAAAATAAATGTTAAATCAAATGTTAATTTGACATATATTTCAATAATTCTCGATACGAACTGGCAGGAGGTCCTTACACCTACATTGCTTTTTCCCCTAGAAGAAGCCGAGTTTGCTCGTCGGTGTACATATACATCTGTACGAAATTTCGTGAACGGCAATTCCAATCGATTCCCCGTTTGTAATTCCTTCGTTGCTATTCAACAGACATAGACGAGTGCGCGGAGGGTTTGGACACTTGCGAAGGTGAGGTATGCTACAATCAACCAGGTGGTTACAGCTGCGCGAAGCCTCCGGCCCCGGTCACCAGGAAGCCTCCTGCGACTCCGTTTCCGATCTCGACGAACCAGAAATGCGCCGAGGGCACCAGACTCGTCAGGAACCGCAGTTGCGTCGATATCGACGAGTGTCGGGAACTGGAGGACGCGTGCAGCAGCAACGAAGAGTGCCTCAACACGATGGGAAGCTACACTTGCAATTGCAAAATCGGCTTCAGACGGGACAATCTGACGCAGGCTTGCGTGGACATCAACGAGTGTCAGTTGCGGGTAAAATTGTAAATCTGCTACGCACGCATAGCTCGATTTGGAAAAATAGTTTTAAAGAAGAAAGAAAACTTCTTTTCACTCTACTTAAAGAAGCTTTCGAACGATTTTCGAGCGCGGGACCATAAGTTGGCTAAATTTGTGTTGGCCAAAAAGTGATTTCCGAGGTGGATGATGCTCTTTTTATTTCAATACCAACCACTTCTCCGAAGTAGTACACAGAGTGTTTTATTTCAGTCAGACCCCCCGAATATCTTTTTTAATTGTGAAAACGCAAAAAATATTTTATACGTAATTTGAATGGTATTATAGTAGGTGGTCAGTATACTGCAGGCGTTGTTTTTTTCAAATGTCGTTCCTTTTTTCAATTTTTCAAGGTCATCGATATTTGTTTTTTCAAATAATTACATATATTTTCCTATTGCATTGCATAGCTCGTGAAAAGATACATTCATATATGTACTATGATATGACCTTCAAATCACCTTGAACCCCGGAAATTACAACTTCGAGAGAAAAGCAATATTTGAAAAAAAACATAGTCCGCAGTATACGGACCACTGAATACCACTCAAATTGCGTATAAAATATTTTTTGCGTTTTCACAATTAAAAGATATTCGGGGGATCATACTTAACACTAGAACTACGAACAGGCAGTACTGAATGTATACTAAATTAAATTGTATAATACAATAATATACAGAATATATAAGACAATCTATGTAGCATAATATACTTTGTAATAAAATCTGTAGTTATTTAAAAACCAACATAAATTCCGTCAAAAGCACCATTATAATGTCAGTAATGGTAAAATAATAAATCTCTAATCCGCCATTTTGACAGGTTTGGTAGTTCTAGTGTTAAATGATACACACTGTATACATATTGTGAAAGCTGCCATATCAATGCGTTGTTTAAAAGAAAAATTATTACGATTAAATTTCCTTGTACAGACCTTGTTTACAAAATACGAATAACGAAAAGGTGAATTTTCGAGCAATTATGCTTTTTGATTTCCATTTGTTTACAGGACCATCACTATGCACATAGGAAATCTTTTTCCTCGTCTGTGCCACGTTTGTCCTATTCAGGAAATAATAAAGCGTAATTGCTCGGAAGCATATACCTTCTCGTCACTCATTCTTAAAACAAGATCAATTCAAGAAAATTCAATTCAATCGTAACGCTTCTTTTTTCAAACGACGCGTGGAAGTGTCAACTTTCAGAATATCTACACTACCACTCATAAGTAACAAGACACTTAGCCTGCACGAAGAAAATGTAATATTTTGCAAAAATGATATATTTTATTCCACGTTTATTACTTCATAATAGCACAAACCTTGTCCATCGAGTTTCAATATCCCCTAAACAATATTTATTTCAAACATCCAGCAATTTCGTAATGCTTTGTCACACTGCATATTCGATAACTTTCCTAATACTTATAAGTAGGAGTGTACATAGAATAGTGCTTTGCATTGAAATGCAAACAAAAAAACCACCATCCACTGCAGAAATCCTCATTGGCGTAGCCAGGTTAACAGTCGGGGGGGTGGGGGCAAAAGTATCAACACATCGACTGCTACAGTGAAAAAGGCTGTACGTAGGATACACTTTATTTTGTTTTTAAAGTCGTAAATCGTAGATAATGTATGTGTTTTGTTAATCGAGGCTGTTGGTCGTGTTTCAAATTATACTGTAATATTAAATATTACATACAAATTTTGCAACTCTGAGAAGGAAGGGGGGGAGCAAAACCCAATTCTTTTCGTGTAGGATGGGGCAAAAGCCTTCCTGCCCCTCCTTGGCTACGCCCATGGTAATCCTTCAATACTTTTTAGCTAATCCAACACTTTTCCAACAATTTTATTACAGGAGGACACTTGCCTACCGACCCAGAGGTGCGACAACACTATAGGCAGCTATAGTTGCACGCGTTTCTTGCCTTGCGGCACCGGTTACACGTTGAACGCAGCGACCGAGATCTGCGAGGATGACGACGAGTGTTTGCTCGGTACACACGACTGCGGAGGGGGCTATCATTGCAGAAACACACTGGGTTCTTACCGATGCGATCGTAATCCACGAACTCCGGTCGCACAGCCGAGAATCGGGCTCGCTACCACCGCGACAACGACGACGACTACCACTACGACCACCGCCGCGACAGTGACTCCTTCGTTAACGCCTCAAACATCGCCTGATTGTCCACGTGGATTCGAGCTAGGCACTGGGAACCAATGCGTGGACGTGGACGAGTGTCAGGACAGTCGAAACCCATGTCGCAAAAATTTACAACGTTGCATCAACACCGTTGGATCCTACAGGTATGAAACAGATGGGGTATATGGATCCGATTCGACCAGATCGGGGTAAGAAGTAACAACGCTGGGGTAAAGTTGTACCACAAATAGATTAAGCAGAATTGTGCACAATGAAAGACAACAAATAACTAAAGCAAGCTAATAATTACAAAGAATTAATATAATATTATAGTTTTCTATTTAACACTTTGTGTTGGCAACCGAGTACCCGGATACCCAGGTACTCACTTCTAAATTTCCTTCCACAATTTTGTATGTTCTTGTCTAAAACAACACGTGGTATACTATAGGAAAGGAAAATTATGTTTATCTAATCTGTCAGAATAGAAGTATTCCGATTGCTCAATAACCGTGAATATTTTGGTTGCCCACGTAAGGGCTAATTGGCTGAATACTATTTCTTAATTTAATCAATAGGTACCTACTCAACATAACGTAAATTGTCTTTTTGTAATTAGCACAACATAACATTATCATCTTAATGAGATCAATATTTAATTAATTATAATAATTAATAATTATCATAATTTATTGATTATTTATTATCATAGTACTATCTCTTTTATTTAAAAAGTTATAAGCCCTGTTACAACCTACCTCTGTTACTTTTAACCCCAGTCTCCCCTATATCGTGAATGGTAAATTTTCAGACATTTGACATATAACAATTCGAACTTAGGTGTGTATCGAGAGTGATATGCAGCAGTGGGTACACATTGGAGCCGTTGTACGGAAAGTACTGCGTGGACGTAGACGAGTGCGCGGATGGCAGCCACGAGTGTTCGCCCGATCAAACCTGCGAGAACAGAATCGGCGGTTATATTTGCGTATGTCCACCCGGACACGTTAACGGGCCGAACAAAGATTGCGTAGATATCGACGAATGCAGCCTCTACGGCAATATATGCGGTACGAACAGTCGCTGCGAGAACACGGTCGGCTCATACCGGTGTGTTTGTCGCGATGGCTTTGAAAATGTTAGCGGTTTCAATGGGGCTTGCGAAGTAAGTGATACACACAACAATTGGATCAATTAACATTAGGTTTATGGACATTTCTGATACTTCTATCTCTACGAACATGTGTCAACGAAACCGCATATTTTCTTTAAAGAACAATTTATTTTATTTAATACTCAATTTACAATCGCGTCAAATTGACGCGTATCCGTAGTGATAGGTATACCACATAGAGCATTTCGAGATCAGAAGGTATTCGAAATGCGTCAGAATGACGTGTCCCGTAAACTTAGTGTTAATGACGATTCGGTATACAGGGTGGTTCGCTTAACGTGACTCGTAAATTATTGGCTGTATGAAAAAATATTTAAAATATAATTTGCACGACCTTAAATGGGACATATAATGCACAAATATGTTTTTACTATGTTGCATTTTTATCAAGATATCACGGTCATCTTCAATTTTTTAAATCGAATGCCCAATATTACTTCCTGAATTTCGATAAAGTATCAAATACATACTACATAAAAAGTACTATTATACATTATGTAGGGTTTAAAGTGGACAGTTTCTTATATATCAGTAAATTTTTTTAATATGTTTGAGAGATTCTTCCGATTAAAATGAGACAAAACATAACGTACTTTGGACTATACTTCTTTATTTATAATGATATTAATAATAGTATAAAAAACATTATTGCGTTATATGTTCCTCTTGATATCATGCAACTTTTGTTTAAAATATTTTTTCATACAGCTAATAATAATTTACGAGTAATTGAGGTGGTCGCATTAGGTGAACCACCCTGTATATTTACACGGTTCCAAAAATCTTCGAGCAGAAATTAAAACAACTAATCACCCAAGACAATTTTCTTCTGAAGAAATACAATACCTATTCAGAACGATTACACAAACGCAAGAAACATGTCTGATACTTTTTCAAGATGGCGGAAACAGAAAGTCCGCCTGAACCTTCAACTTTTTCTTTTTCAAATTGAAATCAGAAGTGAAAGAACGACAGTTTAATACAATTTTTAATATTCTGTACACTTCGACCGCCGCTCTATCCGGCATCTTGAAAAAGAAATATCAAACCCGTTTCCAGATTCTCAAGCTTGTGTAAATTATTACGAACGGGATACCACTTCGGAAAGAAATTATTTTGAATAATTTAACATACAAACTGTCGAAGAGATATATTCAATTGAAAGTTCTCAATTTAAATCTTAGGATATTGACGAATGTCAGCGAACTCCTGGCTTGTGCCAGCAGAAGTGTGTGAATATACGGGGTTCGTACAGATGCACATGCGATCCTGGATTCCGACTGAACGCTGACAATCGATCTTGTACGGACATCGACGAGTGCACAGAGTTCAAAAGTAATAATCTGTGCATTGGAATTTGCGAGAATACACCTGGAAGCTACGCTTGTAAGTGCCCGCACGGTTACAGACTTGGATACGACGACCGCAGCTGCGAAGGTATTCATTTTTGTTGCAAATTTTTGTTTTATCTATTTCTTATAGTCACATCAACTTCTAACATCAGAGTTATTAGCGACTATGACTGCATTTAAATTACGATACTATGATTTTGTGTAAAGATTTGTTTGTTTTCAAAATGTTAACAACTGTAATATTTTCTTCGAAATGATAAAACTGTCCTTTATGGATGATTTTTTTTTTGAAAGAGTGAAGATTTGAGGTCCAATTTGACTTCATTGTAATTTGATTCATTTTTTCTCGTTGTAAAGCTAAGGTCACTTAACGAGTTCGTATGATATTACAAACAGTGATAAGGTTACAAATACGAAGAAATTATGCTCTAATGATTTCTTTTCCTTGCATACCTATCCCGGAAATAAATTCGACCGGTTTCTTATGATTCTGGAACATTACGCTATCAAAAAATTATAAAAAATTATTCTGTATGTTTCTTTGATTTTACGAGCAATGATTAATTACAGCGTACCGTTACTGCATAGATAAGTAGTGAAGCATTCACGTGAATCACGGACCGTTTTAGCGGTTTATCAACGCGCGGTTTTCCTCCGTCATTCTTGCAATTATGCAGTATAAGTTGTACTTGACCCAGTTATGTCAACGATCTGGGCTGCTGTTTGAATCTCAAATGATATCTACGTGCTCTTGAATTTGAATTCATCCTGACCGGGTGACACATGTGTAACGCTGTTCGCTTTAAAAAACCAATTTTATGTTTTCAAGATATCGACGAGTGTAAAGCGGGACCAGTCTGCAGAGGATCAGATGAGATTTGTCATAATACCAGAGGCAGTTATCGCTGCAACAGAATAAACTGTCCTTCGGGATATCATCACGATCACGACAGAAAGAAGTTAGTATCGCACTTTCTTATCGAATTTAAAATTTACTATTTACTGACTATACACACATCACGAAAATATTTATTGTTATATTATATTTTGATATACACCCCCGTCCAAATGTATTGGAATATTTACAAAGAAGTAACACTGATAACACATGGTGCCTTGAAGATGCCCATTTTACGGCTATTTTAGGTCCAAAGCGTCATTGGGCGTCATGTGCTATCTGGGAAGTAAACCTGAACAATCATTGAAAAATAATTAACCCGTGGTAGGCACACTTCATTCCAGCACCCACTGTAGACACACTGGTACGAATTAGGATTTTCAAAATTCTGATTCAGAAATTTTTAGAAATAAATAGTTATGTTTACATAAATTTTTAGAAATAAATAGTTCAGAAATAAATTTTTAGAAATAAATAGTTATGTTTACATAAAACGTATGTATTTGATAAAGAATTCCCTCAGGAATAGATTGGTGATATCCACATTTCATGGAAAATTTTACATTTTCCATAAATAAAAGAAAGTAAGATTTAAAAAAAATCAATTATTTTTATTTTTTATGCCATTTGTTCGCAATATAATGAAATTAAACAAATCTGACTGCACTTTACAGTTAAAATCGTGTAGTACAGTAAAGAAATTGTTTCAGTTGAATGAAATATAAATGAATATTTTGTTAAGGTACTTTAACGTATGGTTACTTTTAAAGTGGAAAAAAAAAAGAAACTCAATGATTTATGTGTACAAAATATTTTGATTAAGAATATTATTTGAACTAGGCCATACAAAACATATTTTGAATCTAATTTAATATATTTCTGCATTGTATACGCAGTCCTTTTTTTTTAAAACCATCTAACCTAACCAACAGCGTCTTCCCCGGAACTGTGTGAACATGACTTTGGGGAACACGACCGATCACCGATTTGTCTCCCGGTATTTGATGACACCGTTTCACCCCCCCCCAGGGGGGGGGGTGGAAAGACGTCCTGCGTGACCCCTTTTAGTCGCCTTTTACGACAAGCAGGGGAGACTGTTGGTGTATTCTTATCCCGACCAACAGGGAGTTTGTATACGTAGTCCTGATATATGATTATCGCAGATTCGTTCAAAACAAGTGTACAAGAAAAGTAATTGTTTATAATGCATAAAATATAGATAACTAATTATTTATGTTAAAATTACTTACTTTTATGGATAATGATTCCACTGAACTATCGAAAACACAAACTTTTTTTGTACGTACGACATACAAAGACTGTCGCTGAGAGGGGTTCAAAAGAGGTTCACGAATTAGGAATTATTTTTCAACTACATAATAACAACTGAAATTTCAGCCGATGTGTACGATCGACCCCTTGCTACGCCGGCGACTTCACCTGTCTGAAGTTACCGTCGCATTACTCCTACAATTACATCACCCTCGTGAGCATGCTACCGATCGCGCCGGACGGATCGGAGGAGCTATTCAAGATGAAGGGATACCCTGTACCTCGCTCGACGATGCAGTTCAGCATGGCGTTCCTGGAGGCACGTGCTCCACCAGGTGTTCAACGAGCAACGGAATCGTGTTTCGCTTTGAGGAGAACAGCACCGACCAATGTTGTTCTAGTGATGACACGTAGCATACAGGGTCCGCAGGAAATCGAACTCGACGTGATCATGGAGCTGTACGGCTACGGGTCGCACTTCGTCGGGTCTGCCGTAGCGAAAATACTAATTTTCGTCTCCGAATACGAATTCTGAAGAACCATCGACTGTTTTTGCTCGAGGAAACGACGTATCGTTTGAATACAAAAGACTTCCGGTTAATCGAAACACTCTGGGACCAAAATAAAACCCAAACACTTTTGGCTAATTAAGCCATTGCTTCAGTCCTATTAAGGACTGTTACATGCTTCCTATTGTCTCACAGTCCGATTAACCCGAATTCATTGTAACGGTTTTTTGAGAACTAATTTTGCTGGTAATTTTAATATTCGCGTAAAAGTTTCTATGTCATTTGGTCATGAAGTCTTTTTTATTATTTCTGTAATGGGAGTGTTGATTCTTGAGATTATATCATCGAATGCTTGATGTTCCGGAGTAATTTCTAAAATTATCGTAATGGCAGTTGGGGTGCTTTGATGTAACAGGGCACAACGAAACATCAATAGTATCTCCATACCCATGAACATTTAAAGGTTCAAAATATGACCATTACGATAGCATATAAGCGATATCATCTTGTGGTTATATTTTGAACTTTTAAGTGTTTATGGATATCGAGATACTACTGATATTTCATTGTGTCCTGTTGCATCAAAGTGCCTCAACTCCTACACTTTTTATTTTGAAATGTAATTTCCAACGTCTTCGATACGATTACACTCTTTTTACTCTTGTGTTGTAAAGTACTTTTTAAGAGGATACCCTTTAAGCCATTTGTACTTCAGAAGTTACTGCACTTTGTAATCGTTTTTTACTTTATTACATTCTCTGCAGAACTGTTTTCCTCTGTTTCTACGAAGAATGTTCGAATAGCGTTTCATCGGTCGATTTTATGTACAAAGATGTATACTGAGCATAAGTAATGTCGGTAATCTGTGTATAATTTTTACAGATGTTAGTCACCGATCGTTCGGTGTTTCAGGGAGCAGATGTAAAAAGGGAGAACAAATTGTAGCGGATGGAGCAATAATTTTATAATGTATTTTTCGGTAAATAAGTAGTTTTATATGTACATAGGGTATATCTAAGTGTGTACACATGAAAGCAACGAAATAAAATCACATTAATCGTTTTAAATTAACTTTTCCATATGATTGCATTTCAGTGAACGCGTGCAATATATAAAAATCATCGCAGCTTTATAGAACGTTTCAATAACGAAACGTTCGTCTTCGTCGTAGCCACCTTTATCGTTAACAATCTTAATGGTTTAGTGTATACAGAAGGCTCTAAACAGATGTACCATATTTAATGTATAAACGTGTCGATAGAATCGATAAAGTTCTCGGTAATTTGACGCAATTGCTTGTCATTAACTTTCACGCCCTTAACGGTACAAATGAAACATAACAGTCGTGTATTATAGATTTCAATTGCACGCTTTTAACATTTACATTATATATGGTAACTTCTCAAGATTCTGTATACATGCATAAATTAAGAGCACGTATGTATGATCTTTTTTACATAACTAATCATTTGATTTTCTTTGTATAAGATACATAAATTAACGAATTTGAGATCCTTAGCATCGATTGCCGTTTAGTCGCACGGAATATGTGTGCATATCGCATTACAATATAAAATATTGATCAAAAATAAAATATATCTTCCAGGATCGTCGATCCAGGCGAATAGATAGATTTTACTGGAAAGTAAGTGGCCTTACTAATGGATACATAAGTTATCATTAATGGCATTGTACTAAATATAATTACAATACTAGAACCAGTAATATCGAAAGCGATGATATAATAATAATAATAAAAAAAATTAATAACATTAATAGCATTGCTAATGTATATCACAACAAGCCATAAAATAACTCACGGTGACAATATAAAGCAGTATGCCATTGAGAAACAAACTTATGTTTACTCAAGTTTCTTTTATGAGTGCACTAATAGCAGTGCATCGAGATCTGTTTTAACGAGTTTCTAAGTATCTGAAGTAGATGCTTTCCATCCCGTGATCCAATACATTGCGAGAATTATATGTATACTACTGAAATTTTCATTAGAAAATAGTACCAAAGGTATATACGTACCGGTACAACATCATGTTTCTAATGAAATTTTATATACACTTTTTTCAATACTAACAATAGCTTTGCATACACTTGTAAAAGATCGAATTTTTTTAAACATTCACAGTACGCCTTGCAAAATCATCTTTAATCATATAATATCAAAAGATTCTTACTCTGATTAAAATCAAATTACTGCATACATTTTGGTTTCTCAGTGTGAACACAAGTGTGTTCAATAAGCAAACACGCGCAGTATAAAATGCCTGACTTTGAAGAAAGCATCTAATGAGAATCTTCACAGAAAATTGCTGATAACAACATTCATGATGATTGTAATATTGACAAGTATATTTGCAATCAAAATTACAATATTAGCATTACTAATAATAATAAATAATGTTATCTAATTAACAGCCTGAATACAGCAACAACACGCTACTGCGGTATTAACCGATGGCAGTGATACCTTTTTCACTCTTTTCTCTTATCGAAGCGAAAAACGAGCGTGACTAGGATTACTAAGGATCTTTAGACCTTTCAGTTAAGCACGTGCGAACAATTCGAAGCTCAATATGATCCAAGTAGATTTTTAATAATGCTAATGAACAATCTATTGGTGTTATTTCTCTGACATGCCATGCAGACAAGAAAATTTAAACTATTTGCTGTAAATAATTCATTTGGCAAATTTTAATAAAACCTCGCAAGGTGATATTTCTTTCTTTCCATTCTAAATTGAATAATCAATTAGATTTAATTCAGCTTATCACCCGACACAAGATGCAAACATTTCTGACATTAGTAGAATTGCTTAATTGTTTAATTAGATTTTCTAATGTCTTGAAATTATTACATTTTGAATTCTTACTACTCGATTCGCACCTGCTTAATTTGTAGTATTTTACCGCAGAGATGTCAAATGAGTGTCAAAATTCGAACAATTAAATAGTGAACCGTAACAAGAAACGTCTGAAAATGGCACCGTATAAACGTGATTTGTACCTATACATATATACACTGCATATGTATACGCCTACGTATTGCCATTTAATAAGACGCTTCAAATCTCATCCATACGATGTGCAATCTAATAACTCATCGGTCTCTTCAGTCCTTGTGGGAACCAAATTTTAAAGCCTAACTACACTTGTAAAACATTTCTATTTTATATATTCAGACTCTCCTGACATAAAATTTTACCTCTAGCAAATATTATAAATGATAAATTTGGCAGCAACGAACGCATCGGCAATGATAAAGAAGGTAGATGATAATAGTTTAAGCAATTATAAAGTCCAACGTTACAACTGGATGAGTTATGTGTAATGTGTATCATTAATAACTGAATGATCACAATATTTGGCACCAAATATGGAGAAACAGAGGTCTGCCCTGTATACCAAACATACCGTAATATTATTTCAATAAATGCTATATGGAAGCATTTTTAGGTATATAATATCGTAACTTGCAAAAGGGTGTTTATGTTCTCGAAAATAGACAACTTGCTATCATGGAAGATTAATTTGAATAATTATACGCCACGATCACTCACATAACAGCAATTAATGTGCAATATATTGTTATCAAGCCAATTAAATTGGTCCGCGTAATGTTACTTTTCATTGTCGTGTACGATAGATACAATTTGGCATACGTAACTTACAATGCTGGCGTCCAATAGGTACTTTTCAATTTGTTGCAATCTCATAAATTTTTTAAATCTTTCGTATCCAACGGATACAACTTTTCTACATCGGATTGTTCAAAAATCTATATTAACATTACACACAGACTCTTGTTCAATATAGGCACTTAGATTATGAGTGTTTGGCATCATGTAGAAATCTTTTTCTTAGCACTTTTCGTTTTGTATCTTTTTTTTTATGAAAATTTCTTCCTAAAACACACTTTTACTTTTTTTGTTGCTTAAATAGTCTTCTTTTTTTTTATTACAAAGTATTTCGCTACTGTAACTAAATATGAGAATAAGTTTCCGTTGCTTACATTTTTGTAATTCTTGTTTGGTTCAAATCTTGACCATGCCTAATGTAATATCTTTCATATCACTTCACACTTCATCGTTATTACGTGATAACAATATTGAATCAGAGCACGAAGTTGGACAGCTCTGATCTTATTTCTTACAACATTACGAGTATTTGCACTATACTTATTGCCTATATGAAAAGAAATGTTTATCTTCATAAAATGCTCTCAACGGCTCATTAATTGGTAAAGACGTTTTGGAAGCATTCTACGTCATCTCCATTATCGTAACAATTACAATAAAATGGATGTACATGTAACGGTCAAGTGTTAACACACAAATTGTATATTTGCTGACAACTGAATGGTGAAAGAAACAAAAACTACCCCGTCAGCGAAATCTGCAAAACCAAATTTTGTCCAATGTCTGTTATAAAGTTATGGCCACATGTTTGATGCAAGATTTCCTATGAACAACTTGCAGCAAATTGGCTTGCGCAAACCTTGTTCCGATTTTGCCCTCAATTTGACATAAGTCATGTTGCAATATTTTTTGCCAATTTGCCATTTGGTCAGCTGGCGTTGCCTGCATAACCCAAGTCAAATGCGAAAACAGATGGCTATGATTTTTTTAGAGAACTTTTGTCATTTATTACTGGCAACTTGCGCGAAACTTGTACACAACTGGTTATCAAGGTACTTACTTTAAGTTATCCCTTTACCAATCATAATAAACCGCTACTCAATATGTTTGAATATGATTTACGATAAGAATGTACAGTTTATTATTCAAAACATATGGATGTATACTATAAATACTACGCCCCCAATGAATTGTCTCCAATATAACAAATAAAAAAAAAAGATTATTACAATGCTGAAAGAATGTAAAAAAATATTAAAAATTCGCATTGAAATAAAAAAATACATAAAACAAATATAGAAGAATAATTTTGAAAAATTGACTAAAAATAAAAGTTTCTATTAAACGTTTTTGCGAACAATATTTTAATTTATGTGTCAACACTTGACAGTTTTTATATGCTTTTATATGCATAATTATGGTATAAAAGTCACAAATTTGTTTAAATTAGTGTAATCGTAACAAGTGTATACACAGTAATGTATCTGGTATGAAAATTTTTAAACTTTCGAACTACTGTGCATGTATCATTCATGACAGACTCAGCTGCAAATACAATTTTTACCAAATGCGAACCGTACAATTGTTTGAATAGCCTCAAATGAATTTCTTTGTATATATCTTCTGTAGAAGTCGGTATTTGTTTACTTGTAACTAAAAGTTGACGAGAACCTCTAGAGCGTTTACAAAACGTTTAAGGAACAAAAACGAGGTAAACCTGTGGTTCTCATTCTTGAAGTCTGTCATAACGATTTCTTTTATCTACTTCTTGATTCTGTCTTACTATATATAAAACATAACGTATCACAACTTCATTATACTTTGTAAATGAAATAATTGTTCGCGAAATTTGAATATGGCGTTCCTTACATCTCCATACATTTACTTAACAATGTCTTTTGTTTAGCTGCACCCAATGCACTTGAAATTTTACTAATTTATCCACTGAATTATTAAAACAGAATTCCTAACAGTTTTTTAAATACAATTTATACGAAATGGTACAATAGATATTGTTTCTTTTTTGTAGAGTACTCAGGGAATTCTCATAAAATTATTTTTTTTTTTTAATTTCAGTATCTCGATTTTATATACTATGAACTATTTTATGTTACTAGTTTTATTATACAAAAATATTTACTACATTGCAAAATTAATACTACTTATCATCTTCTTATAAACACTGCATAATAAAATATTTTTTGGATTGTATATTATATGTACATTTTTTTAGCAATCATCAAGTGTTTGTAATATTCCAAGGTCTCTTGCAAGTCCACAAGTCCAAACAGAACTGTTATTACGTATTCAGTTTCTGATACGTAAACGTTGACCAAATGCAAAAATTCAAACGTCTAAAGACAATATTTTCTAACACAATGAACACTTGTACAACGATCTGTCTGCCAGGTCACATTATAAACAACTCACTTATCGTAAAAATTAAATTAATATCAAATATAATTAAAAACATTATCTATGCACGTCTTGAACAACAAAATGCACATAATAAAATAATGATATAACAACGTCTTAACAATTAATATAATCCAAATACGATAAAGTCCGTCCGTTTATACAGAGTAACAAAATTCCGGCAACAGAATGATAATCTTTTGAAAGTTTAGGTCAAACACGATGTCTACGTACCTTTTCCATATTATCAAGTAACAACAAATTGTCATAAATATTCGTCAAAAAGTTGACGTATTGGATGTTGCACGAGTGCAGCCAACAAAAAAGACAAAAAAATCATCGCGCCGAACGAATTTTCAATTTCTCGGAATACCTCGCGGTTTCCGATGTGCCTTTGACGGTCAAGCGATCGTGTTGTTATGCAGTTCTGCGAATTCCTTGGACAGTTTGCACACGTAATATAGACGTTCGTAGAGATCACTTGTACACCCGAAATCTCGTATATCGTTCAACCAATATGAAGACGTACGCCGGCTGGTGTCGATGTATGTTATTAAGTATCCTCTGCTAGACGATTCCTGGGAGACTACTAACTTCGTGTGGTCCTCGAAGAAGTTCACTTGTAAAAGAGGCACCGTCAGCTCCATCACAATGGTTTTGTCCGTTCTTAGCCATCTTCTCACTCGCGGTATGCAGACGTTCTTCGACTGCTTTGGGACAGCTCGATACTCCTTGATTTCACCACCTTTTACAAGGTTGATGGTAAATTGGGAGGAGAAAATTACATTTATTCCATGTACCATTAACCGACTATTGGATCACTCGTTGTTAATTACAAATCACAGTTATACCAAAAAATAACAATTACATGCAATCGTACTAGGACACAAGTACACCTATTCTAGTACAAGTATAAAATAATTACACTGAAAAGACATATCGTGAACTTAATAAGTAAACCTCGAAGCTCCACTTTTGGACCAATTTTGCATTTTAGTGTCACTCAAAGCACTCCAAAATAATACATTTTTCTAAATAATTCCGCAACTCCTGTAAATGAAATAAATTTCGAAAAACGTTGCCAAGCAAACCTCGTAAACGCGTCATCGAAATATTTCAAAAGGATAAACTTGTAACTCCCTTGTCTATGGTCATTTAGTATGGCCAACCGACTCAGTGGGCTGTACGCAGGAAGCATGTGTATTTGTTTTAGTACATATTTATAGTGAGAAAAGCTGTTGTGACAAGAAAATGGTAAGTCAGTACTAATTATTTAAAGTATTATTTCGTATTTTTCTTTATAATTCCATAAAATTGTGTAGTTTCATATGCAAATTTACATTATAAAATTGTATAAGAAAATACGAGTATTGTTTGCATGTTTTTGTATGACAATAGTTGCTATAATAATAATTTTATTTTTTATTTTATTCGTGACTGATATTAGAGCTTTAAAATACACTCCTGATAGCCATATTTATTTGTAACACAAAGAAAAAATGGTAATATTTACCACAAGAATTACACTATCTACCAAAATTATATAAACAAAGGTTAAAAATCACCAAAAGGATGTATGATGACCTACAAAGATTGAAAACTGGCCTTCCATGACTTCCATAATTACTATGACAACATTTCCTATGAACAGTAATCTTCTTCTATACATACTAACTGCCATAAAATTGATCTCTTAGTTTTTACATTCTAATTAATAATTTTAGGATTAAGTAGAAAAAATGTTGATTCTCAAAGGCTGTTCTAATGTGAAATGTTAAGATATTTTTATAAACAGAGGCTAGTTTATGTTAATAAATTTTTTATTTTATAAACAAATTCAAGTATTGGACTAGTTTCTCAAGTTGCCCATTATAAATGAATGTACATATCTTCATTGCTAAAACATTTAAAGTACTTATAATAAAACCTTGTAACTCCATATGCCTTCTTTTTATTTAATTTGATACCCTTGTAACTCCGTTTTTTTTCTCTTTTTGAGAAAATTGTGCTCAAAGGAGGAGCGATTGCTTAATTTTTAACACGATGTACAAAAGTAAAACCCTATGAAGCTAACTAAATCCTATTTTTACTAAAATATTAAAAGCAATTAATTCTAAACTGTTTCATTGCTCTCCTGTAAAGTTCCGTCAAATGGAGTTACGAGTTTTATTTATTAAGGTCACGATATTCAAAAACTGCATCATAAGTATTATTTAGTTTATATAACACGTAGATAAATTAACTTCATCGTGTACAACGAATTGTTACTGTAATATTTTGTATGAAATTGATTTGTATAAATTAATATTACCTTCAGTCATGTAATTGTCCATATACTGGGCGAAACGTTGAAGTAACTCGAGCTTTTCCTGCAATGCAGGCGGAACATCTTCTTCTCTATGGTACCTTGTTACTTCGTCTTCGGTAGTCATATACTCCACCCTTCTTCGCAAATGGTTAAATAGTTTTAAGCAAATTATGTTGAACTGTGGAGACATTTAACCCTTTGTACTTTCATCTTGCAAATACTTGTCTTTTGTACACAATTAAAAGTGGGCGAAGATTAACGAAACCGAGAGTTGTGGAACACGGTTATTCAATTCAGTCACTGTTATTCATTTCTTAATTCATGGAAAAAAGTGTTCATATTATTATTTAATTATCATTTCATAGTGAGACTTATCGTTGAATTTTTACTCAAAAGCACGAATATTTTAAAGTATGATTCAGTTCAAAGGGTTAAAATACACTGCCCAAATCAATTAGAAGATCACGATATTACATAGGATCAAATTGCCTCTATGTCTGTAGATTATTTTTCAAATATTTGTTACAAGAACAAAACTGGCTGTCAATATCGTACAAAAAAAGATGTCGATTTGTCGAGTCAGCAACATTTGTATCGGTTGGTTGGAGAAACAGGATCGCCAACAGTATCGATCCCCTAATACATTTTCGAGCAGTGTACACAAAAGTCAGTCTACTTATTCAAAGAAGAAGACACTGACCTTCTGTCGTGTGTGTAACTAATCTTCGTATTATCGTTGAAAAGAACGCCGACAGATCTGTCCGAGAGTTGGAAGCTGAGACCGTACTTGTTCGAGTAATCGATCCACTTTGTGATGAAAAGGGGCACTACGTCCTCCACAGGTGGAGGATTTTGCAGCATATTCTTGTGGTTCATTTCGTTGATGCAGGTCTCCAATGCACGATGCATTTGCATACTCTGCGCCACATAGCCCATCTTCTTGTGATCCGGGCACAATATACTGCTCAATCGTTGCCTGAATTTCGGAACCTTCGGAATCTTTCTGGCCAACCAGCTGATCACCTTCGATCCTTTTCGTAGTCCTTTCTGGGGCTGATTGATCAGATTCTGCTGTTGTTGCGGTTGCTGGTATTGCGGCGGTTGTAACTGTTGCGTCTGTTGGGTTTGCACAGTTTGATGGTGGTACCGATGCGTCATTTCTTGCGATAACATGTTCGGCCATACCTAGAAACGCACGAAAAAATATTTTTTACCCTATTCCCACTTCTGGACAAAATGGTCCATTCTGACCCCAAAAATCCTTTGTACCCCTCACGAGTAAACACGGCTTCTGTTAGAGGAAAAAGTAGCGTAGGGGAATGGACTCCTACCAGTTGGTAAATTTATTTGAAATACTAAAATCAATGTTAAATCGAATGTTAATTTGGCACAAATTTCAGTAATTCTCGATACAAAGTCCTAGGAGGCCTTTCTCCTACGTCACTTTTTCCCCTAGCGGAAGCTGAGTTTGCACGTCAGTGTACCAGATCACCGTATTTGGGAACACTTTTCTGCACAAGAGTTTACTGCTAATTTTTCTTTTGTTCCTTGGACAATGGTACTAAATAGGCAATAATTATCGAGAAAGTAACAATTTTACAAAATGATCAAATTATTCGGTATAGATTCTAGAAGTCTACCTGATTCTTATTGAATTTCTGATTTCTGGAGGTCGTGGAATTCGACGAGGGGGACGATATTGGGTCGATGATCGATGCGTGCGGCATTTGGTAGCAACAGGTGTGGGGCAGAGACACGGGCACGTATTCCTTAGTCAGGTACGCGTGCTCCTTCACCCTCTCCAAGGACGGTCTCAGCTCCGGGTTCGATTGCAGCAACCACCTGATTAGATCCTGCCCGCTCCTACTCGCGATCGTGTCGTCGACTTCGCGGTAATGATTGTTGCATATCCTGTCGTACGTTTCCTTGAGAGTCGCGGTGTCGAATGGCGGCTGACCGACCAGCAGGGCATAGAGTATGCATCCGAGCGCCCAAACATCCGCCTCGTAACTGTACGCCTGCTTATACAACACTTCCGGCGCGATGTAATTCGGTGTTCCGCATATTGTCCTGCGCATACAAACGAATCGTCGCGATTCCCGTTGGATAAGACCCAAGAGGGAGCAGCCAGCCGTGGCTTAATCCCCATGATTCTCTACTAAGGAAATACGTCTGCTCGTCGCGTTCTTTTTTCTCATCCTACCGGGAGCAATTAGAAGAGGCGGTTTAAATAAGAATTATTTTTGCAGCCGTTAATTAGATCGCTGATACGTCCCCGTTGAATTAAGATATTATATTCGTGGCTGAGAAGCGTCTGCGTTCGTGCGCTCGGAAGATTTTTGGTGCGATAGATTGAGTACCGTATTCGTTTCTTAACTGTAACCCACGTGAGAAGGAAACTGTTTCTTAAGGAATAGGACTGTCAACCAAAAGTTTAGAATCGCTTGATGAGTTTTGTTGTCGTTAATATTACGCCGTGTACAATATTTTCGACGGATCTGTAATGATTATGGAATCTCCTAAGTTGCACTTTTTTTTTACGACGAAACTCTTATGTTCTTTAACCCTCAAATGATGGATGTGGTATATACGTGATCCATATACATACAGTAGTGTAGTATCGGTATTATGACACTGCTGTTACGGGATTGGTAATCATGGCACTGGTGATTATACTATTGGTAATCATAGTATTGGGAAGCTCAGTATTGGTAATAATGGCATTGGTAAATATGATATTGGTAATTATGACACTGGTAATCATGGTATTGGTAGTCATGGCATTGGTAATCATAGTTTTGGGAAGTTCAGTATTGGTAATCATGATATTGATAGTCATAGCAATGGTAATCATGGATTTAGTAAACATAGTATTGGTAATTATGGCACATGTAATCATGATATTGATAGTCATAGCAATGGTAATCATGGATTTGGTAAACATAGTATTGGTAATTATGGCACTGGTGATCATGGCATTGGGAAGTTCAGTATTGGTAATAATGGTATTGGTAAATATGGTATTGGTAATTATGGCACTGGTAATCGTGGTATTGGTAATTATAGCACTGGTAATCATGGTATTGGTAATCATAGTATTGCGAAGTTCAGTATTGGTAATAATGGCATTGGTAAATTGGTATTGGTAATTATACCACTGGTAACCATGGTATTGGGAAGCACAGTATTGGTAATAATGGCATTGGTAAATATGGTATTGGTAATTATGGCACTGGTAATGATGGTACTGGTAGTTATGGTACTGGTAATCATGGCATTGATAATCATGGACTTGGTAATTATGTCGCTGTTAGTATAGTAGTGGTAATCGTGGTATTGGTAAACATGGCATTGCTGTCATAGTATCAATATTATTGTATCAGTAACTTGTATAGACGGTTTCTAACAAAAGCTTCCGCTCTCATAAATTAGTTCGTGGAAATGCGAATCTGCGCAAACATTCCGCGATCTGATAAAAACAAAAAACCGCGAGGACGATCACAGTGACTGATATCGCACCGATACCGAAGTACGGCTTAATTAAACGGAAGCCCAACGGTTAGCCCGTTTCTTTTCGATCCGCGATATTTCCGTTATTTCTAAAGCTGGATACAAGGTAGATCAACGGAAATAGGGAAAACTTACACTCGTCTGCGCTGTCCGTCGGGCCTGGTCGCTAGCCCGAAGTCACCGATCTTGACGATCATTCGATCCGACAGGAACATGTTGCCAGGCTTCAAATCTCGATGCACCACCTTCTGCGAGTGAATATACGCGACTCCTGTTACCATCTGCTTCATGTAGTAACGTGCCTCCGGCTCCGTGACTTTGCCGCGATACTTCAGCACATGCATCAAGCTCTGCCAAACAGAAATGACACGGTTTCGTTTTTTGCACAGAAGCAGGAAAAATCTGTGTCGTTCTTTTAACCAACGACAGAAAAATTTCCAGGTTTATGCTAGAAAAAGTGTGATTGATGGTGCACAGTGAACACACGGCAATACTTCGAAGAATAAAATATCTATATCTGGACCAGGGACTTAAACCGGTATGATTTTGATACCGGTAATATGCCATCAAAGCTATACCGAAACCGATATATGACCGAACACCGAATTAAATACCAGTATTTTTTCGGTTTCTATAAGGGTAGGGCTTATATAGGGTCATATAGGGCGAAGGTACAACCGAAAATACCGATATAATGTAGTAAGTTCAAAAAGATGGCGTTTCGTCTCGGGAATCGTCTACGGTCTACCAAGACTCGTCAGTGGGGCTGACGGTAGACTACCGGTATTTTACGTTTCGGTAGAAATCCCTGATCTGGACTCCAGAGCCAGAGTGTGTTAAGTGACACTTTTCAAACTTTAGAGGAAAGCAAACTGAAGGTGCGAGAACCTTGTAACTATGGAACCGTTTGGTAAAAATTAAACGAAAAACAATCGCTACCCTCGAACTATTGAATGGGCATAAAACAAGTCTCTATATGTAGAAATGCTGAACTTTGTACTAACTCCCCTATGTGGAGGACTTTCCACTGTTTTTTTAAAAATATGAACTTAATATCATTTTTACATAGAGTGAAATATTTGATACAGGAAACATGTAAAATGTCATTTTTTTAAAAAGTGGACCTAATATCCTGCTCTGGGGTCCAGATATACGTACTGAAACAAGTAGAAGGCATTGTGCGAATACAGGTTTCGCATAAGAGACTATTTTTGTAATGAGTGGGGCAGATAGAAAGTCTATAAACGTGTTTGTAGTGTTTATAGTTTAGGATTTATAGCGTATTCGAATGCACATAGTGGAATGAAATAGAAATAGTGAGAGTAATAAAACTGTCAATTTTCTTCGGGCCTGATACATAACTGTTGATGAATAAAATTGATTTCTGCTTATGCTTGGTTTACGAAAGTGAGTCAATAATAACTGTGAATAAAAGGAACAAAGCTGTGCATAATAAAGAATAAAAAATTCAATTCTTTGTGTATGTTTACACCTGTATGTGCAGTGGGTAATCAAATTATACTAAAGCCATAGTACGAAACATATATTTTATTGTATTTCTGTAAAAATAGAAACGCGATATCAAGGTTTTTACATTGGATAATTTTTAATTAAAAATTGTCCAGTAGAAGTACATAAGAGAAGTAAATTTAGCTCGTGTAATTATAAAAAATACAGTTAAAATCGTAAAATCGTGAATCTACGCAGGTGACTTTAATAATTTGAATACCCACTGTATATTGATTCTGCAAAACGAGTATTATTTTGTTCTGTGTGTGAAATTGGATACTGTTACTTTGTCTATACATGTCGATACATGTATTTAAAAAAAGAACATAAAATTTAATCTGTCTTTGACCTCATAATTGGAGAAGACTAATGATATTTCAAAATTATCAATATATTCTTGTATCTCTGTATATTATATCTTGCTCGTGTCTGTTGCATCAACAAATTATGTTTATTCTTTCTTATGTTATGTCTGCCTTAGCGTTAAGATAAGAAAACGTATCCAATTAACAGATGAAAATAAGATTCAACTTTTGGTAGTTAGATTATCTGTTTTTTAACTCTGTATATAAAACTTTCGAAATTTAATAAGATTGTACATTGTATTTGTTAACACAAAAAGAATGACCAATTTTACTCGTTTCAATGATATAAACGCAAATGGTACCTGGTAATTCTGTTTATTGGTTCGTCACGCTAGCAAGCGAGTACCGGTCGAGCTAACGATTTAAGAAGCGAGGAATATAATCGAGCGATTAGTTGACGGCCCCGGAACATCCTAACGGTACAAACAAGTGGACAGATCAGCTGCGGAGAGTGCAAGTGCTCGTTCCCTTTTCTGACCGAACGAAACACTGCTACCAGAGACCATCCTGCAGCCAATTGGCTACTAGCGATATTATACACGTTCCAATTAACAGATCAATTTCAGAAATAATTTCTGAAAGTATTGCAAATTCGATAATATTCTTTTTTATAAACAAATACACACGTATTCATCGGTAAAAATTCTTTATCGTCGACTTAAGTGGAAATAATTTAAATAAGACGAACCAAAACTCTTTGTTACTAGACTACAGTTATTTATAGAAATCCACGTTTTTTAGAGATACAACTTCGATACTGAACATCAAATACAAATTTGAGCCTCTTATTAAGTGTTTCACAGAAGTCAAAATAACCTGAGAATTCTATAAAAATTTACTGCAATATTTATTTCATTTTATATACTCATATTCCGTAAGTTGGGTAGAATTTTACGCATTCAGGGGTAACCTTGTCCCAAAGTCAGAAACTGATCGTTTTCGATTGTGCAGCTATTTTACAAGTATTTTTACGCGAAGTAATGCAACTTTCACATAAAATCCAACTTAATTTAATCACTCGCAGGGCTGCAAAATCGAAAATCATAATTTTCTGATTTGGGACAAACTTACCCCAACTTACGGTATACTAGAAATACATAAACACCAGAGTCTATCACCTTCTAACCAATCCAATCACACTCACTCAGAAATTTCGTTTAATCCAACAACGAAGATCGAGCTCTATAGCTTTAAACTGAACTCTCAGAAGGCTTGCATAACTAATAAAACAACCGAATGAATTGGCGTCTTTGCAAACTGAGTCTCCGGCAGGTTGTACAATATTCTACAAAAGCTTTCTGTCAGGACCACCGAAGTATTTCCTGAAAGATTCAGAAGGAGAGAAACATCTTATATTCCAAGGTAAAAACGTATGATCCTTCAAAGGGGGAAGAACGAGGCAATTCTATTTCTTTCAATGGACCATAAATTCTTGCACGGTTGGACGGTAAAGCTCGTGTACACCTTTTTTGAATGAGGACCCGACTAGGGTTCATCTTTCTGGCCAAGCTCCACGGAAGAGCCGAGGACATGCTTTATCTAACAGGTATACGCGAACTTCTACTTCATTCTTCGAATACAACGGGGGATCTCGGGGCCGGCACGAAGAGAACGTTGGGAAATTCTTGCGAGCGTGTAGAGAGAGAGAATGTACCGTAGGAAACTGTGCAGTCAGGTACACACTGGGACATACGATACCTTTCGAGGACAGGCCTCCAGAAGCATGTACACGTTTAGGTTGTCCTCGAAGTAGTGATGCATCTGGACAACGTTCGCGTGATTCAGCTCCTTGTGGATCATGATTTCACGCGCGATCTGCAACGAACAGATTATTATTGTCATTGTCCTTCCCGAACACCTGCGAAACATTCAATCATTTTGCCTCGATGTCTTTCCGGGATTTCAGCTACCGAGACTTATTCCGTCGACACCTTTCATGTCTACCTTATACTCTACAGTAAATGTTCGATGAGTGTTCGAAGGCTTCTCGGTACTGACGAGGAGAGGTCCTCAAGTGTAACGCTGACTTTTAAATTATGTTTAACATAGTGATAGAGTTTGGAATTCTGGAGATAATTATATTTGTTTCAGCCGTATATGGTCATTAGTTTATGAAATATTTAATGTTCAGTGTCCGGGAGTTTTCGAACACTCACCGAGGATTTGCCTGTATTACCCTGGATTGCACTATAGAACAAAAGTTTGGAATCATGGGCGAAATTTGGAATAACGACGGGTGTGCCTGACTCCTGTCGTGATACGAAGTTAATATAATATTTTGTTTGGATAATAGCTGAAACAATCCTTAACCTTGCTACGATCACCTCAGGCTAGCTGTACTACATTTGGAATAGTGGCGAGGAACGAGAAACACGCGCACCAATAATAAATTCCTTATACATTTCGCGAACGTAAGGACATTTCTAAAGAGAGGAGATTAAGATTAACCCTTAAGGACACGGGTGTCGTATTTTGTACGCCACTGGTACAGAGAACTCTTCTACTTCCCTAAATTTTGGTTATTCGAAAATTGTTTTTTCGTCCTAATTATCTACCATTCAATATACAAGATCATTAAATTAAAGAATAAACAAAAGGCCTGCTGGTGCCTTTGAAGTTACGAAAAAAAGGAATGACGTACTCACGTCTCTTTGAGAGTCAAGTCGAAAAAGTGTGTAAACTCGAAGCGTTAAAGAAATGAAAACGTAATTGGGTCGAAATATACTCGAAGAGCAAGATTCTTAACTTTCGTGAATGAACCGAGTTACTCGCGATTCCTCGAATTTGTTTGTTTAATATGTAAATATCATATATTTTCTCCGATCCGTACAGTGATTCAAAACGTGACTGCCAACAGTACATACATATACATTCTAATTTGTTTAGATTGCAAATGAATTCGCGGCTCCGAAAATGTTTTCATGCAGCCAGCAAACATTTTTTGTTAAATTTATATCGTTAGTTGTAAGATGTACGATATACTATGTAATATGTACGAACCTTCTGCATGTGAATTTTTTGCATTCGATTTTTCGGAATTATCTTGCAGGCGTATTGGTTCCCATTGCTGACGTCGGTCATCAGATAAACCCTCGCGAAGCCACCCTGAAAGCAAAATGGCAACGTGTGTGGATCCATTCCATACAATGTACAGGAAAGTCATCGTTCTCCTCTAAAAGGAGAATCCTCTGTTATATCAGGTGTACCAATAAGTAGTCCACTATTGTTTGTGAAATTCTGTATTCCTTAGGAAATAATTCAGAACCCTTTTATTAACGGTATTTATTTCTTGTTTCCATCATTCTCCGCCATTTTTACTGGGCAGAAGATCCGAAAACTATTCTGAATTTAACCCCTTGCCTTACAACATCGAGTCAGACACGTGATAACGATTTCAAACTGAATTTAGTGAACATATGTATTATTCGTTTTTTCTTTGAATCGTCGTGAAATACTGCTCCGCTGGCATTAATATTTAAGGTTTAGAATAAATGTAACCCTTACCATAAGAATAGAATTCCTTTTGTATCTGGGATAATATTAACGGTAAAGTAATTCTTGAGAGTGAAGTCGTAAAAAAAATCATATGCCAAGGGGTTAAACTGCATTGACAGTATGTATAATGAAACCATAATGGATTACTTACTGGTATACCTACTACAGGGTAGACCACGAAATGCGATCAGCACAGATTATTCTACTATGTACTAGTTGTTCGATCGACAATTTTTCTGCACGCTTAATCATCCGTGCAGACGTCATAAATAGAACTAAACTGTAAAAAGTAAATGATATTTTCTTAATGTTTCTTTGCTGGTTTAGAAGAAAAAAAATGATTTGTTATCCGCTGAAAGATGGACGCACAAAAATTATAGATTTATCTATAAAAAAAACTGAAGGAGACCTTGAAAACTTTGGGGAAAAGAAGGTTGACAACAAATTTGGTACAATCATCTTAAAACTCTCCTTAAATCACGTTATATTAGCTAAAAAAAATTTCAATCGATTAGCTAACAATAAAAGACTATTCTACTGTTAGATTTAAATTAATCACGTTTCGTAGTCCACCCTGTACAAACAACACATACATATATATCGCATTTCAAACATTCTTCCTCGAATAATACATTTCTAATCATAAATACAAAACGGTTTCTACGCGTGGATCAAGATTTACCCGACAACCGCGAACCAAGGCTTAACGCAAGGCTGCTCGTTCCTGCATCGAAGATCCAACAATCAAAGCAGAAACTCGATTTGTTCGTGTTTGTTTGTCCGTTTGTTTGTACGTAAAAAAGTGTTCCGCCGAGGCAGCGTGATTTGCAAAAGCCGAGGAAGTATGTAGCCCGGTGTCGTGGAAACTGTTTTTACTTTCATTTCCAGTAAATCTACCGTGGCCAGGCAATAAACGATAATTTAAAGATGTTCCCCGAGGAAGAACGAAAGCAAGTGGGTCTCCGGAGGTGGGAGACCTTTCACTCCGGCGACGCCAAACGGATGCTACTGGAGAAATTATGGAATCTAGTTTGTGATTCTCGTTTCGAAGAACGTAATTTTTATCTTTTGTCATCTTTCCTGTCCGCCATGACTTTCCATCTCTCATACTCTCCACGTTTGAATGGACACTTTAGACAGACTGTTCCAGAAATTTTCTAAGCAAATTGTACCGATAAAGAATATGAAAAGGAAGAAATAGGAATTATATTGACAAATAAGAAATATGAAGGAAAGAATAGTAGATTTCATTTTAATCTTCTTTTCTCAGAATACGTAATGTGTAAGTCGATGTTTAAGTGAAAATGTTATGAGGTATTGACTGTTTTAACAAAAAACCAAACTCGTATTTTGTATCCCGTTTTATCTATTTAATTGACTATTGCTTAATACATATAGATTTAATGTATATAATATGTTCTCTGTTAATGTTATGTACACACATACGTCAGATTTTTTATGACAAATCGCCATAACAACCGTGAAACTGTTATAATTTACAGTTTACATTAAAAATCCGAATGATGCCTATATTTTATCTTATAATATTACTTGTTATTTTGTTAACTATTTCTTTTATAGTTTCTAATGTCTATGTTAAGAGGGTAAATGAAGGTTGGACCGAACAGAAGCTTGAAACTCTAGTATTATGTTTGAGGAATATTTTCCAAAAAGATTTGCGGTACTAATTGTGAACTCCATAAAAACCATGTTAACCATTTTCATTTCCATTAGCCCATTAAACCTTGAAATATACAATACCAACTTTTTTTTTTATAGAATACGTTCAATTTGAGACCAAAGAAAAATGTAAATTAAACAATTATGTAAATACATATATACACAGTGAACACTAAGCCGCTCAGTGATTCGCGGACAATATGGCGACGCTGGGTTTAAGCCTTCGTCATTGCGTTCGGAACATCTTCATTAGTTCCCCTACATTCTCCAACCTTGGCAAAAATCACAATCAAAGAACGATAAAACCTATTTTACCGTAGAGAACAATCTTCTCTGTCAATTTTCTTCGCCGTCGTTTAGAAGAAAAAGGTTATAGCTAGTCTCCGTGTCTGGAATCAACATCGTGTAGAACAACTTTTTTCCCCTGCACGATCGATAAGAGGACCAATGGACAGGGAATTATGAAATTCGGGACGACGGTAGAACACACGAGGATTACACGTTTCGATCGGGCTGTCGTTCCCAGAAGTCTCGTTAAAACGGTAGACGAAAACAGAGACGGGTTAATAACGAAGTTCGTCATTGCGATGGCTCGTAAATACGCACGACAGCGTTGGCGTTTTCCCCGGGTTAAAAAGGGTGCGTGTGTGTGCATTCGCGCCGCGGGCCGATTGCCAGAATAACTCCGCTCGAAAATATCCCCCGACATTACGAAAACTTCGCTTGTCGCGGCCGTGTCGTCACGCTATCGATCGACGGTACAGGTTTATCCATTTGGTGAGCGATTCTGGGGAGATCGAATGAAAATTCCGAGGATGACATACACACGCATACATATATTGGGTCGGTGCAAAAGTTTCGATGAATTTCGCTCTAAAGGAGTGAACTAATAATAAATTTAATAATAATTTAACGATATACGTAATAATTTTTTTATTACATATTGTTTGAAGGATCAAAGATAACTACTTCTCCTGTTGAAATAAATAATTCTTCTTTTTATAAACTCTGTCCGTTCATTATTGGAGATTATGCCCACGCAACAATATGTATGTTCAATAGAAACTTTTGTTCTAATAAACAAATTTTTGAAATCTTATTATTCGATGAATATATTGAATTGGCTAAAAAGTCATCTCGGATTTGTGGAGTGGATGATGGGTTTTTTTTTTAAATAAGAAACACTGTTCCTAACTAATAAATATACATATACAGATTCCGAAAGCTGACACTTCAACACGTCGGTTAAAAAAAGAAACCATCACGATTGCATTAAATTTCCTTGAATTGACCTTGTTTTGAAAATGTGTGACGAGAGAATTATACGTTCGTTTGCTTTTTCCTTTTCGAAAAGGGAAGAACGCGGTACAAACAACAAAAAATGATTTCCTATACATGTTGACGGTGCTGTAAACGAACGGAAACAAGAAAAAGCGTAATTGCTCGAAAGTACATCTTGTCGTTCATTTTCAGAACAAGGTCAATTCAAGAAAATTTAATACAATACTAATGATTTTCTTTTTAAAAGTGGGATTTACACGTCAGTTTTGTTACGTTTGCGTTGTTTATGCTTTTCATGTTTTTTTAATTCTTCTTCGACAGCCTATTTGAAAGATTAGATCCTACATAATGAAAACGGACAATAATGGATGATATTTAGGATTCTTATTTATAAACTCTATAAAACTATAACAATATAACCATCGTCACACACAAAAGTGATGACTGATAAATCATTTCCCACCGACCTAACATTTGTAACTAGTATTTACGATGTTTTCATTTCACGTTTCTTTCCAAATAATACAGCAAGACAGAATAAAGGAGGAACATTACATGGCAACGATGAGAGGGAGAAACGAGAGAATCAGCAGAACAGGAAATTCCTGTAGCGTCTAGCCACCACGGCCGTCACGCGACTTAAATTGCTCTCGAAACGCAGCCGCTGACGTACGTTTGGTCCTTGCTAACGGCCAGAAAATGGAACGTCCCGACGACGCTGTGAATTTTTTATTTGACCGTGTCAAAGCGCGACGCGACCTGCTGGAAACGAAAAGAATATTCATAGCTCCGAGAGGGATGTCCCTCGACTATACAGGCCGTAAAACAAGTCATGGTCGCAGTTCCTGAAATTTCTATAGCTTCACAAGAGAAAAAGAAAAAACGGTTTGTGTTCCATGTGTCTCACTTTAACCTTCTGTTCGTTTTCTTAGAGAAATTAGACTGAAGGTACCGAAGTGTTTTAATTCAAAATTCTATTGGTTTTTATTCAGTTGTTTACAGATTGCTGTCCTTTTTCTTTCAAATAAAAGTAGCTAAACCCTACGTGGGCAAACATATTTTCCACGCTTCATAGGCAAAACTAGGTCGTTTATGGTCAAGCCTAATTTTGTTTATTGCTTTAGGCTTCCAAAGATCTGTTAAAATTCTGGGATACTTATCAAAGTTCCTACTAGATTATACAATCGTTCGTTAAGTCGAATGTTCAACACTTTGTTTGGATAAAAATAAAAATCCGTAGGAATGTAAGTACTTTTCTACAGAGTTTAGAATTATAAAACTTCTGTTCTTCGCTGAAAATGATTATCGAAAAATGATTCCTCTTATTGCATCCACCATCCTCTGAACTTGGACTTATCAATCATGTTAATATATTGGTCTCAGCACTAACTACATAACTACTAACTACATAACTACCGAACCTGTGTTTCTTGGTCAAGAGTTTGATTTATCGCTCTTCTCACTGACTCCAACACTAACTAAACTTAAACTCATCAATCAAAACTATTTTGATCCATTAGTCTCTATTTCGAACGATCCTTTCTGAAACTAATTGTAGGTCGTTAACCTTCCTTGGAAGTACAGGAAATTGGTCCTGTGTCCAAAGATATACGAATTGGAAATTGAACAGTAAAATCGAAGATGTAGAA